CCCCCCCCCCCCCCACAGTCGCCTGGATGCACATCTGCTTACTTGCTAGGGCTCTGGTTCTAAGCAGATTCACCTGGGCACATTCCCACTCTTACGAAAGCTGCCTCTGCATGCTCTGTGGCGATGCTAGCAGCCGCCTTGAAACAGACTGACAGCTTCTCTATGGTAGCTCTGATGCTGCAGGCAACTTGACGAATGAGAGGAGAAGCTGGAGAGATTTGGTTTGACACCACAGAGGCACTTCCTATCCCCCTTATGTACTTCAGGGCAAAATGCAAGGCCTTTGACTCTCAAATGCAAGGCCCCTGACTTTCCTGTTTGCTCAAAGGATATGTGATATTTGAAGTACTTTTTTTTTTTTTTTTCAAATATTCTCATTTGAGATGCATTACTCAATAAGAGTGTGGTGTCCTGGAGGGTGGAGAAGTTGGAAGTTTTTTTTCTTACTCCTTCTCTTGTAGCTATCTTCTTCTTTGTCTTCTTCTTCTTGCTGTTAGTAATTTTAGTTCTGAAAGTGTGATGTTTGGTCTGTGTGTGTGTGTGTGTGTGTGTGTGTGTCATGCAAACAAAAGACATCAGTGAATCAGGAATAATAAAACCAGGATGGCGCACATGCTTTCAACATTTTCTAAAAAGCACAAAAGTGGAAAATACAATTTCACGTAACTTACATAATCAGATTTTCAAACTGCCAGCTCTGTAATAAAATTAATAAATTACTAATTAAACACATATAATAGAACTTTCTTACTTACAAGAGAAATGAAATGAAAGACTAAATAAAAAGTTAATGTTCCTTTTTTTTCTTTTGAGATAAAGTTTGGTTACTTTAATAGACCAGAATTAAACAAACACCAATAATTGATCATCTGTACTTCACAATGTATTAGGATTTTGTCAAACCATTTCATGAAAAATCAATACCCTTCAATCACTGTATTAAAGAGCTGTTATTTAATCTGGAAGGTAAGAAGAAGAATACATGTAGTAACAGTAGCAATAATAGTAGTAGCACGGTAGTTATAGCAGTCATAGTAGTAATAGTTCCTCCACTGGAAGGTCCAATAAAATATTAATCCCCTTGCACATGACAAAATCAAAGAGATTCAGTGGAGTGGAACAAATGGAACAGATCAGCCCAAAATGATGATGATATGGGTGATCTGGATTTCATTGCAAAGGGCTTTTAGTATTTAATAGACCAAGTGATTGAACAATCCATGTGGTGCGTGTGCGTTTGTGAGTGAAGGAGGGGAGTGAGTACATGCGTATGTATTGATTGGCTCAGGTTTTTCACTGTAAGCGCAGAAAGTCCAGGGAGAGGGAGAGAGGAGGGATGGAGGGGGGGGGGGGGGGGGGGGGTGCAGCACAGAAGAGGATGTGAAGGGGTTGAGGGGTTTAGCATCTCCAGTGAAAAGTCCTCCATCAGTTAATGCCTTCGTCCTATTCGCATCGCTCAGGTGCAGTTGCCTCGTGCAGCTGTTTCCATAGAAAAGTGATGCTGCCACACAAAGTGTTGACAGGAGAGCAGCAGAAAACTACAAAGAAATGCTTCCAGTTATGAGTTAAGAGGCATCTAAATGAAGACAAAATTACATGGCAGGGGAAAACAAACAGATCAAGATCTGAAGCTGTGTAAAGGGTAAATGTTTGGGCATGAAACTGAGACAAAGGAGAGGAAAAAAAGGAAAGGTGTGACTACAACTATGGAAAATCCACCCCACACTGCCGGGGGGAGTGTGTGCCTGTTTATGTTGACTAGGATGTTTGAGAGATGGTCCTGGAGGAGCAAACACACCCAACCAACCGAGTCAACGCTCATCCTGCTCTCCCCTCACTATTCGTTCTACTTTGACTTGACTTTCAAAGGCCAAGGATTCTCTCCCTCAAAGGGGAAGCAGAGAAAAACAACAACAACAACAACAACAACAACAACAGCACTGTAGCTGTCTATGTCAGAAAAGCAAAAAAATAAAACTGAAATAAAATTTCATGTTTCTCACGTTTTAGTTAACACACAAGCAGATTTCAGTTTTTCTCATTTTCTTTTTCAAGCACTTTTTTCTTTTTCTTTTTTTTTTTTTTGTATGAAGACCTTGCACAAAAGCCAGAACCGTTCCCCAGTAACATTTGCAATTCACAAGTTCATTTCACCCTTGTTCATCTCCTGTCTCTCTGCAGGCACCAAGGAGGTGAATGCCACAGGAAAATCATTCACAGTGAGGAGTAGCGTCCAGTTCCAGGTGGACAAACGGGACGACGGCGTCGCCTACACCTGCAGCGTGGAGCATGTGTCTCTGTCCAACCCCTACATGACAACTGAGGTCCTGGAGGTCCACTGTGAGTGCAGTCATACACACCCCACAAAGCTGGATTAGGTATAAGATTAGTATTGAGAAGAAATACAAGGATTGAGATTACATTTATGTCTGCAGGTTTAGCTTTGCATTTGCTCAGGATTAGTGTAGGATTAGTTTGCAGGTAAGGGATTAGTATCAAAGCAGAACAGGGATATGGGCTAGAGCTAAGAGTTGCCCAATGGGTAAAGAGCTAACTACTGTTGTACTTTGTCAGTGTAAGAGTTAAAGCCTCTAACACACAGTGCTGTCATAGCATTGGATTTTTTTTTTTGTCTCTTCTTCGCAGATGCTCCCCATCTGGAGATCACACATTCACTGATTATTCCACAGGAAGGGCAATACTTCAAATTGGAGTGTATTTCCATAGGCAACCCGATGTAAGTTGGCATTTATTCACAACTTCAATTTGGTGGTAGCGACTAGCATGAAAATCGGCAGGAATTTGACTTGAGATGTGATTCTTCTTCAATAGCGAATGTCATTTTTCAAGAATTGTTCTGCAGTTATTTCTTAACATTTAAGAAATCACAAGCAGCAACATAAAAGGAAAAATATTGCCTACATTGTTTTCTGTCCTAGACCTGAACCGGTGCTGTGGTCTAAAGATGGAGGAGAGCTGCCAGACACTGAGCGTATGATTGTGGAGGGCAGGGAACTAACCATCACCACACTAAACAAAACAGACAATGGCACATACCGCTGCGAGGCCAGCAACGACCTGGGGACCAGCAGTGCTGAATACATACTGTTTGTATATGGTGGGTACTTCAGCGGGGGCGAGTCTTGTTATGGATGATCAGTTTTGTTGTTGGTTGGTGTTCATTACACAGATACAAAGCCAGCAGGGAGGCTGTCACTCAGGCAGCTTAATATATATATATATATATATATATATATATGTATATAAAGAGGCTAAGCTGGTACATGTTATGATAAAAAACAAATGTCTCTAAATCAAACAGCATGATAACAAAGCAATAATCACTACCTTAAATATAAAAGATATCAACGGGAGAGAATCACAAATTTCAGCATCTCCTGGAAATACAGTGTTTTTGTCCGATAATCTGCCAATCATAATAACTGCTGTTGACTTCAATCTTTTAACAGTCATTAGTGTTTCATTTATGAATATCAACTGACAGACTCCAGTCACCCGCAACCCAGTGAAGGATGAGCATGTACACGTAATGAATGGATATTTAAAAATGCATAAATCAGCAAACATGTTTTAAATTAGATTTATCAAATAATTAACAATCTTCCTGGATAATGTTTATCTTCATTTTGGCTGTAAAGACGTGCGCCAGTTTGATTTTAATAGATTTCAAACAAGACCCTGCCAGTGTGTTTGCATGGTTTAGATCCTTAACTACAAATCATGTGTACTTAACATTTTAGCTGACAATTTGTGAAAGTATGTTGGACAGTGTTGTGTGTATTTTTGTTACCATTGGAGACAGCCATTTGTTTCCATTCGTTTTTGAAAATATAAAAAGCATTCATCAATTCAATTCATCACCATGAACATTATGTGTGCGTGAATCTTTGTTGGCAATACATCAAGGTTGTGTGATCATGCAGATTAAGTGCAGATAGATTTGAAATTGTCTCCACTGCATGGCCTCACAACAATATTGTAACTTTGACGATAAGTAATGTAGTAATCGTCTGGTGTTCACTGCGATGTGAAGTTAAGAAGCAGAAGTTTAAATAGATCATACGCTGCATTAAAATGAATGGAAACAAATGGAACCCTATGTCAGAGAAACAAATGCAAATCTCCAACTGCGCTTACACAGACCATTTCAAGCTTAGTAGGACAAACAGCTCCATTATGTTTTCTTGAATCGGGGCTCAGCTTCCTGTTCTTGAACACCTCAGTATTAAGTTCAAACCACCAACCGTGTGATTAAATGACAACCTGCTGTTCTTCCTGAGTCACAGCCACTTTTTGGTTGGAGAAGTGGTCAGCTGTGATGAGAAGTACAGTATGTATGTTTTGTAGGAAACGGGATAAAACATATATAAAAACACTAGTATGATGTTTTATAATATCATCTCGATATGTGATTGGTTTGTACTTGCTGCCAAATGGTAATACAGGGTAGAATAAAACAGAGTAAAAGATGGCTTCCAACAGCTGACCACAGTATTTATCTGACATAATAGTAAGTTCATGATCAAGTATCATTAAACATGTTTCATTTTGTGGTTCAGATATACTGTATAGATGTAAATCTAATGCCAGGACCTACAGCAAAGTTGTCTGTAGTCCTGCATTGCAGACCATTTCTTCAAGATTCCACTTCCAAATCTTTCCTTGGCACTGTGCAGGATAACCCAGTTTACCTCACTCTACTGTACACAGGCCTATCACTACACAGGTTTAGCGTTTGGACTCTTCCTGTGAGGAAGCAGAAAAAAGTGTTAAGGATGCAGAATTTAGCTTCCAAGTACTGCCTGGAGGAGAGATAAGTTAATCCCGAGACAGTGGAGGGGATGAGAGAATAAAGACAGCATGGTGCCGGAAACGGATCATTAAGGCCTCGGCAGCACATGTTTATAATGTTTATCAAATACAGCCGAGTAAAAATACAAAAACAAGGACAGAATATATAAATTCAACATGGATTTATTTGTTTCCATTTTTGCCAATTAAACAGTCCCACATGAGAGTGCAGTTTGTTTGGGAGCGACTTATCACAGCTCCAGCGCTGGACTTATTCAAGCTCACACGCAGTTACTGGATGCACAGCAGCTTCTTTGTTCGATTTTAAAGGCAGAGGCTTTTGGGGAGAGAGAACCCTTCACTGGGAAAAAATGGAGGAAAAGGAGGATGACACATTCGTCCTTTCAGCTTTTGTTATCTTAGTCTCCTCTTTCAGCGTGCTCAATGAACAGGGGTAAGGCAGCGATGTCAGGCTAGTCCATATCATCCTGTCATATCTGGGTGCCATGTGCTGGTCCATAGTTTCATTCCTCACATTTCACAGACAGGAAGGCTTTTTGCATTATATCAAATTATACAGAATTCAAATTTGTTAAATCTGGGTTATTAGAATTACAGGATATGTACCAACAGAAAAGCTGATAACCTTCAGCAGCCCTCTCACAGTAAATAAAAAGCTCCTGGTTACTAGGGGAAGGATGACAAATTGAGTTGAGTAGGTAAAAGATGTGTGAGACGAGCTCATTTCCACTGATGATGATAGTCATTCTTCAGCACCATCGTGTCTGTCTGAATACTTACCGGGTCTCTTTGGATCATCTCAGCCTCTAAGCCTAATTTGCTAATGACAGGAGAGCTGAGAAGCAATAAATGTCAACGCTCCGCCGCAATTCATCAACGTCTCCGATTATGCTCCTCGATACACTGTATTAAATAAAGCAAGGAAACACCATATATGATAATTACTCTGTCTGCGATGCTAGACAGATGGTAACAGATAGTAGCTGGGTTAAATACAGTCGAGAGACGTCTGCGTCTCTTTATGAAGCTGCAGCCCTGCGTCTTACATTTTGCCCTCACATTGCCCTCACTCATTTACTACACATGTTCACCTCAACAAGTATGATACATGATGAGTTTTACATTCTCCATGTGCAGCCTATTTACCAACCTATCATCATTTGCCGGAAAATGTAACAGATGTAAGAAAGATGAATCCTTCATGTATGACTCATCCTTTTCCCCAAAGATGTTTCGAAAAGAATCTGCTCATTCAGAGCTTGACTCATTCGTGCAACTCTTGTATTTTATCATCTGTGCATTTTTATTTCATTATTTTGCCTGTATTCACTGAGGGAAAGACCAGAATTAACCCACTGCACCAGCCACGCGCAGTAATTGATTTGTGCTGTTTGATTTTCCTGTAAGTTTTCTCATGTTGAGCCTGTTCCCTACGGATAGGTTTGTTTTTTGCTCCCCATTGCTCCTGTTTTCATTTAGCAGACGTCATCACCTTAGTGCCTCCATCTCCAGCTCCCCCGACTCCCTCTCTAGCCTCCATTCTTCCAGTCTGCTAATGCCGACATTCCCACATCAGGCATAGGCAGTCACAGCTGCGTTCGCAGGTACGCTCGCGAGCCCCCCTTGCCCTCGCCTCAACGCTCCATGCACTCACAAACATGACACTGAACACACACTTGGTGATTGATGAGCTAACAGCCGGGCTTTGAGATAGAAAATAGCATTGTTTTTCTGGATGAATTCAATACTCTGTCTATTTTTTCTCTTTCCTCTCTGCTTTATTTTCTATACACAGCACTGTTACCTCACCAGCCTTTTCAGCACTCATCCTGATTAGTGCTGTTATTGCTAACTGATGATATGCAGACACTGTAGAGCCAGTTACCACGTTATCACAGTTTGTAAGCCACTGCATAAAATATCATCTTTACAGAAGCAGAAAATAGAAAAACATGAGAGTTTTTATGCTTTTGCTTAAAATGGTTTCTGCCATTACAACCACACACAAGATAAAATTTGCAATTGCGTTCTAACAAAGTTAACCAGAATCACATGCTTTGTGTGTTTACTTCAGTTCTTCTCTCCCAATGGAATTAATGTTGTAGTGTTTGTGTATGACGTTGCCGTATTGAGCCACAACAGCACTCTGCAGGCAAAATATGCCAAGCGGTTGCCTTAACAGTCAAAATAGCTTTAATGTTGTGTGAGAAAATACAAAGGTTACCTAGATTTGGGGTTTGCTTAATTTTGATAATCAACTCAAAGTTTCCTTGTAAACAAACAGAAGTTATATTCAGTTTATTTCACCAAAACGCATTATGTGCATCCTTGAGGTTTAGCAAACACTGAATGCATTTCCTTCCTCATAAAAGATTTGCAGCAGTGATTTTGTCGTAATGTTTTACACTGTGCATTGTTTCCATCCTTATAGACTAGCTTACAGTCTTTCCGAATGTCTTCACGACTAGTGGTATAGCTTGAAACTGGCAGCAGGACAGCGTGCTCATGCATGTAAATCTTTTTGCACATCCACAATACAAACAAAACAGGACCCCACTCTTAAAAATATTGCTCCATGGCAAAAAAGAAAAATCCACAAGGTACCTTTAAACTGGAAGGATTAGGCCTCTCAAAAGCTGTGACTTTACTTTTCCAAGCAACTTTGTCATCTGGCAGTACCTATATACCCTGACCTATCATTCATGACAGACTGCTCAATGTATGTTGTTGAATACTCAGGTGGAGGTTTATGACATGTTACCTCATACCTGAACTTTTTAAGATAAGATAAAAAATTCTTGCTCTCAGTATTAAAGGGTTGGTTCACACAAAATCCCAAAAAATATTTTCTCATTTACCTCCGGTATTGTTGCATTCATATGGTTTTTGTTTTGTTTTCACAGGTTTTAAGATACTTGTCCCTCAGCTCTATATGCTTCCACCTGCAAACAATGGTGATTAATAGTATTTAATTTGTATTAAAAAATTACAGAAACAAAAAAATAGCAACAACATGTTTCTCAGATGAATTATTAGATATCTTTCAACCTGGGAAAATACAAAACTAGTTATTTGTAATTATTGGTAAACTGACCTATTAGAATGTACATTGCCAATTACACACGGCAAATCTCAGTAAATACGTCTTTGTTCTTCATCTTGTCCTTGTCAATATATCTTGTGCTCCTCTCATAGTCATCGTTTCCAATAACTCCAGTTCAGCATGTATTTGGCTCTGACAGCAAGCTTCGCTTTCCGTCACCTCTGTGCGCTGTCAAAGTAAAAACTCAGAAAACAGACCATACTAATTTCACATGTTTCCTTTGAACCTTGTGGTCACCTTTTTTATCACGGTGTTGTTCCCCTCGTCTTTTCTTACTGCTGTCACTGTCTGCAACCATGGCAACAGCCAAAGACTTTCCAGGGCCTACGACAGGTAAATATCCCACTAGATGATCATTGTAAGCCAGATTTACACTGTGTGATGCTGGATCTGGATCTGGGTCAGGACACATCACGGCCTCCACCCAGCATGAGCCAAACCATCACCATGCATGGATGCTCACTCTGCTGACGCCAGCCGCTTTCTCTCTACAGGCTGCATAAGTTATCACACCACAATGTTTTTGGTTTGCTTTGTCTTAGAACCATCTAATTCATTGTGCAGTCTGAGTGGTGCTGGGCTGGACATTGTACCTGTGCCAGTGGGCAAATATTTGATTTCAGTTCATGTGAATACAGCGGGAATGGAAGGGAACAGCCAAAATTCTTAATGAGAACTCGGCTTTTCACATTTCTGATCACATAGTACTTGAAAAAATATTTCTGTTTACCATTTTTTCCTAGGTAAATGTATATTGATCTATGTGCGTAACATGGTTGGAGCACTTTAGTCTGATATGGTGTGATATATATATATATATATATAGGATGAAACGGGATAGAAACAGTTCATGTTGTCTTAATGTAACTAAACACCGGATCAGGCCCCTGTGTGCTGCTAAAGTGTTTGTATTCTCGCTTTGTGACAATGAGTGGTATTTTAAGTGTTGTCTTAGTTGTCTTGATTTGAATTGCTGCCGCTGTAGTTTGTTTCAGGATTGGCATATGAATAGTCGGCGTATTTACATGTGAATTAAAGCTCAAAACACTGGTTGGACAAGTATAAATACTTAATGGTCATTTACTCACACTTAAGGTGAAAGCAAGTGTTGTGTTTGGATGTTCAGCTGCAGTGCATCAAGAGCTGTTTAGCTTGTCCCATTCCTGTGAGCTGTGAGCACCAGCCAAGTGTGATATGAAAATTGCTTGTGCTCCTTGTTGACAGTGGAACACCTGTACAGATCATTATATCCATCGACATGCTACCGAAACTGAGTTAGTTCAACTGTTGTACCAGTTGACAATTATTGCTTCAAAGTCTGAAGTGCCTGCCTGTGAATCCCTAATAAAACAGTCATGGTGGTTCTATTGTGCATGGTGTTAAACTGCATGTTTCACAATTTCATCTTTTTTTATTAGTCTTATTCTTAACGTCCCTCACTTTAGTTTGATGAAAATGAGGGTTGCATTCTGTTAACAGAGGAGTATAACGAGGTTTATAGGAACATCCCCGTCGTCATTTCCCAGGGTCACTTTGCAAAACTGAGCACAAGCCACAGCCATTCATCAGCTTGAGATAATGAGAGCACAGGAGGTGCACAGTAAAGACACAGCCACTTAGAGTTTATTACACGACAGACACAAAGGCATGCTCCTGCCTGGGAAACCTTCAGCCTCCACTCTGCCCGGAGGACACCTCGTGTTAAATAACACTTACTTTAAAAAAAAAAAACTGATCCTCAGCAGCAGAATGTGGCAGCGAGCAGGGAGAAAACACAAAAGATAGTGTGTGTGGAGGCTTTGGCTAAAAAGCTGAAACATCACTCAGAGCTAGACTTCAGCTTTCTTGCAGCATGTTTCCGTTACTAACACACATTTTTGAATTGTGTAGAGATTTGTGGTATTTCCTATGATCACTTCTTTCATACCTGAATTCAGGCACTTCAAAGCAACGATGTCAGGTTGCTCTAAATATGGCAGAAGCTCATTTGGGGCTGTTGTGCTTTGTTCACAAATGTAAAAGCTACATCTGGATTTTTTTTTTTTTTTTTCCAGGATAATTGCAGGATGAAAATGTTTTCATTGCTGTTTAAAAAAATGTCTACAGCTGCATGAGACAGCGGCGGAACATCTTGCAGGTGTTAACATTATCTCTCCACTTTTCGCTCCATGTCTCTCTGCCTCTGTCTTATTTCAGATCCTAATGCTTTAGGACAACATGGACCTGACCACGCTTTAATCGGCGGAGTTGTTGCAGTCGTGGTCTTCATCACCTTGTGTTTGATAATAGTTCTTGGACGATATCTGGCCAGACATAAAGGTAAAATGGGTCACTCGAGCTCCCTTGAATTGCAATGGTCTTGCCTGGAGTAAATGTATATGTCTAGGTGGATAAACTTTCTGTGGCTCTGTATGTCTGCAGGGACATATCTAACACACGAGGCCAAAGGAGCAGAGGACGCCCCAGACGCAGACACAGCCATCATCAACGCTGAGGGAAACCATGTGCATGCAGAGGAAAAGAAAGAGTATTTCATTTAGACTTCTGTTGCTTTTTTCTTTTCTTTTTTTCTCCTTCGTTTCATGACAACTTTTGACAGCAGACATGCAATTTTAAGCTGCCTCAGCGTCGCAGTCTGTTTTACTTTACTTATTATTTACTTGTTCTTTTGCCTTCTCCAGAAAGCTCATGCTTGGATATGCTTGTTTTCAAAGCATTCGCTGACAATATAGCCTTCTCCTTTTGTAATCAATGTACCCCATGTACAATTGGATTATGTCCATTTCAGTTTTACAGTGCCTAAATGCTGTATATTTTTCTGCATTTCTTTTATCGCTTGCATTATCTCTCTTCTCTGTTACGTCACCTGTTAAACAACTTTTTGCAGATTTTTTAAAATTCAGAGGAAATGTGCTTCAACTCAAGTCTTAGCTTTTCAAACTGTTTTACGTTAAGAACAGAGTGTGTTAAAATACATCTATCTATCAAGCATTTCCATCAGAGGAATCTTTTTAGGGACTGAATGGTCTTTAGATATTTACCCCACCACAGCCATATTGCACATGTTTAAAAAATAAATCATAAAGCAGACCAAACACTGACAAAACAAAACTTCGAAGCACAATCTATGTGATTGTCTCAAGATGAAATTGACTCCCTTTTAGCAGTCTCCATGTTCCTGCATTGATTTTTTTTTTTTAGTTTTTACTCATGCTGTTGATTTGTACCAACAGAGAACAAGTCAGAATATTAAAGCACAAAGTCTGAGGACTAACACAGAGGGAAAACACATCAACTGTTTCTTGTCTCAGGATTCAATATGAGTCTAGATGGAGAGATGGTGTCAGATACACGATGAAGATTTCAGTACACTGAACGATTTTCAGTTATTGTCACGGATGAGGAACTTTAATTTTGGGTTGGTGATTTGATGTAAGATCCAAACTGAATGAGTGGAACCTTGTAGGGGTTCATTATTTATGTTGAATTTTATTGAACAACTATGCTCAATGTGTGGATATTGCTGTAAAATACTTTGCTAACGTGAATATTGGTGAACAATATTGTTGAGTCTTGGGATCCCTGACACATTTCGATTTGTATATTAGCATATACAGTATTTAAAGTATTCCACACGTCTTATTTTTTCCCATTTATCTAACAAGAGGTTGTTTTGTCATAAGGTATGTAAATAATGTGTAAGTATTCAATTTCAGTAAAAGAAAATCGCTGGCTATAGCTTTTAATTTCAGGTCCATATCAGTTCCTGTCATTTTGATGAGATTATTTTCACATTTTTGAAGATTTCTTCAAACAGGGATTCTCATGAATTGCTTAAAATGTAAAAAAAAACTAAAAAACTAAAAACTAAAAAACTAAACAAAACAAAAAAAGGAAAAAAAATCTGGTCAAAATATATGTATTTATTATTATTATTGATTGACATTTATTATATAATGCTATATTGATTGATATTATTGCTGTTATTACTAAAGTAGTGGTCTGACATTAACTTTTCCATTTTTTAATTCTGAAACTTATCATAAAAAACAATACAAGGATCACCGTTATGGCCTTTGAGTTTGCTGCAAACAGTACTAATGACATGTTGAGGCATTGGTGAATCAGACATCCCCTCATTGTATATAGTCACTGTATCAAAGACACTGAACCACATTGCCAATGCTCATACATGTTATTTTGTTAGTTCAATATGATGCTATAAATAACTCATTTTGTACAAAGTTTTAATCGCTGTAATTAATTTGCTTTATATGGGGGATGTGTGAGGTTTTGCTTTTTTCTCAGTATTGAATATTCATTTTTCAACTATGCCACTGTAAAAAAAAAAAGAAAAAAAGAAAAAAGAGAGACAAAGTGCGGATTAAAATATGAATAACTTGAAAACTGCCATTTTGTTGTGACTAAGTTTGTACTTTGAAATGAACTCATGAGTAATGCTATGTGCTTTTGAATTACAGTAGAATTATTAACATAATATCAGTCCACATATCTAAGGGAGTGTATATTGATGGACGGTGCAATGACCAAAGCTGCACTGTAATTGTTATTCCATGCAACTGCTGAGTATTACTCAACCTTTAGTATTAATAATACATGCAAAGTGTCTGACTTGTAGAAGGATTAAAAAGCCATGAAGCTCCTCAGGAAGATCGCCCGAGGCTATCAGCACCGCTCATGATGTGTGCATTAATACAGGGTGACAAAAGGAAGACTCCAGTCTTCCCGAATTCTTCCCCTGTCTCACTGGAGCTGAGTTCGATATGCTTGAAGTGGCTTCATGAAAGTGGCCACAGTTGTGAACAAAGCAGGCTGCTGTTGCACTTATTTTAACAAACTAGACAGATGGAGTGGGCTGGGTGAGGAAAACTGGAGGCAAACCGCTTTGTGATTTGACATCATGGTCAAGGATGTTGGGATGCAGCTCATTGCTTTAATTGGAAGTGAAATGATAACACTTAAGATGAAATTTTATTGATCCCTGTGGGGAAATTAGATAATTGAAAAAGAAAACAGTAATAGCATCTAACAAGGAAAAAATACAAACTTGATACCTGCACTGAATAGATAATAATGAAAAAAAGTACAGTACAGCAGTCAAATTGAGTAAAGAGTTGTGCATATGCAGATGTCGCCTTTGTATTAATGCAAGATGTGGTAAAAGGATGGACCACTGATTCATACGCTGGTAAAGGTATTACAGCAGTCACGTCTTCTTAATTACTGTAAATAAGGATTACTGCAGGATAAATATGTGCTATAGATGAGTTCAATATGCATAAAAATATTGCAGTCTATACAAAATGAAATAGTAGTGTGATTATAAAAAAAACCATGAATATATGATGGGAAGAAATTGACACACAAGAACATGGTGTGCAAATGTGCATTATATTCACATTATCTAAATAAGGCCAAATGTGATGAGTGTAATGGTAGCATTAGAGTAGCATTAGAAATACTAAGCCTTATCAAACTTACATTTGAATAAAGCAAATGTTAGTATCTTGCACACGGTAGTGATTTGGTTACAACATGTACAATAAACCTTACCAATTTAGAAAAACAAAAAAAGCACCTTTTATGGTCCATTATCACTGCTTCAGTGGCACAGATGAACTTTTGGAAATTTGAGGATGGATATAATAGCACAGTGCAGATTACTGAACTCATATTAAATGTCTCGACATCCTTAAAGGGAGATCTCGTTCCAGGACATGGGGCCCGAGTCATTATGATCCTCCATTCTTCAGCTCCCATTGACCTTGAGCATAATGTTGCTTCCCAGCAGACTAATGTTGCCATTATCAGCACACTGTCCGGCCAACCACCTGCCTGCTTCACACAACGCCTCCCTCCCTCTCTCTTGTCTCGCAGAGACGGTTCCCAATGCTCACTTCATAATCATTACCACCAAAAGCCCAGCCAGTTCAAAGAAACATCAGCTCCCACTATCACACTCCTCCGCGTTATTGAAAGCTCAGTGCTTCGTTAAGCTATGTAAATTGAGATAGACTGTCTTGAATAATGCCTGGCAGAAAATAATGCTAAGAATCCATCATAATTTAGTAATTGGATATCGAGGGGGGGAAACATTCATGTGCAGTCGTAAATAGTGAGTTGGAAAATGGATTTTCTCTTTACCCCAGAAATGTGAGAACCATCCCCTGGGCGATGTAACAATCACAGCATGACCTCTGAGGAGGCCTTGTAAGTCTTACTAAAGTGAAGAAACTGATCCCCACTGTACCCTGTAGGCAGGGTCCGTATCAGTCCTCCAGCTCACAATAAGCTCTTATCATAGCAGAACAGAAATTTCTGACAAAATCCTTTAGGGACAAATTGATATCTTAAAAAACATTATTACACTTAAACATATTAGGTCTGCAGCACAATTCTGATTTTGCAGTGTTGGGCTAATAGACCTTGCAGTTGTATTTCCAGGCCTGTATAATTAAATAGCCAGACTGAGTGTGTTACTTCATGAGTTTGAGTATTCGCCTTTTTTGTTGTCTCAGTGAGACTCGAATAGAAAATAAATATTTTTTTTACATTTTTTTTTTTACAGTAACTTGTAAAAAAAACTGTGTTGACACAGTATGCTTTTTCTTTTTCATCCCGCAGCTCTGCTGTAGATTAGTGACAACTGGAGGAGCCATAGCTAGACTGTGCATGAAAAGCCCTCCAACCCTGACACAAATAGCGGTCCTTCTTTTGGATTAACAGCACAACGTTTTTATGCAGAAATAACAGTAATTCCACTTGTTTTCACTATCCAAGCATGTAAATTGCCTTGTGTAATTCACTGGGCGATTTGCTGAGGAAGTAAAAGGGTCAGAGGGATTTCGAAGATGGAGTGGGATTGCAAAGCAAATGCTTCCTCACTTCAACAGAAGTGATGAAGAAATGTTCTGTCCTCTGGATCATGTTTTTAATTACAGATTTAGTAGGTTATCAGTGACACTTAGTAACCCAAAGATTCTTCCAAACCTTGAATCAATACCGTACTTTGATAACTATAATTGCAAAAGTCCCAACTGGAAAAAAAAATCTATCCAACAAATTCAACAATTTTTTTTTATTAATATTGTGTCATCTTTCATATTGCCGGCCAGGAAGGACAAATATTTTGGAAGAGTTTACTTGTAATCATTGCTCTGCACCCAAAGATGAGGTGCAAAGAGCAGACAGTGGAAGATGAAATTCACAATTTTTCAATATCCTCCTTTTCATTTTCAGAACTTTGTGTTGGTAGTCTGTTATCATTGCCCTTAGAAGCCCGAGGTTGCATTGTTTGTGTAAATGGTTTTGTCTTTGATTGACAGTTCATTCTAATGGGGAATTGAGTAGAATAATAGCGCGTGTTTACAACACTGCTGCTCCCTTCTAAAAGGAATCATTGCAGACATGATGAGACCAACTAGTATTGCGGGTACACTCCTGGAACATCCTGGATTTGTCCAAATACCCACAGCTTGATAAGGTAAATATAGCATGTTCTTACTCGTATATGTCCAGACAGCACATTTTCATGT